AGAGTCGGACACGACTGAGCAACTGAACTGAACTGAAGGATTTTGTGTTGTCTGTTGTTTTACTGTAGAGTCTTTGTCCATAATTTAACTCATTAATGCCAAAGCTTGTTAATTATAAACATTGCTGAAATGGTTGATAGAAACTGCATGTTGTCACACAACTAGTTTGTTATAGGAAATTTAGTCATAAATATGCCTCTTACTTATTCATTTGGTATAAATCACCTTACTGATATTCTCCTTTTTCTCTCCCTTGTCCTGCTATATAATTGCATGAATCACAGCAAAAACTCTGAAGGGCTGGTAGATAAAAAGGAAAGTCAAAATTAAGCACCCATTTGAAGAATAAGTTTAAGGAACTTATTAAAGTTACTATAGCTTTATTAAAGTTAGAGTGGAAACAACAACTTGAACTTCTGACCTCTGAAACTTAGGTCTTTGATACTCAGCTTGTGTCATCCCACCCGCCATGTTTTCTCATGTGAAACAAGATGGTTTATCTCAAGCAAAGCCTCCTGGGAAGTAGTTGATTCAGAAGAATCAGAGAACTTAAGATGTGTCGGGGCATCTTTGCTGGTGCTGGAAAACAAGGATGCTCAGTGCTGTCACAGGTGTCCATGGAGTGTCAAGGGGAAAGGAGACTGCTTACATACTTCCAGCTGACCTTGTTGTGTTGTTCAAGCATCAGATAAGTAAATCAATAATTTTGTGAAGATTATCGTGAATTCTTAATGCTGCTCAAACAGGTAGGCAAAAGTGTGTGTGTGTCTGTGTGTGTGTCTGTGTGTGTGTGTGTTAGTCACTCAGTTATGTCTGATTCTTTGCAACCCCATGGACTGTAGCCCACCAGGCTCCACTGTCCAAGGAATCTTCCAGGCAAGAATACTGGAGTGGATTGCCATTCCCTTCTCCAGGGAATTTTCCCAAGCCAGGGCTCAAACCTGGGTCTCTTGCATTGTAGGGGCACACTTCCATCATATTTACAGAATATATTGTCTATTACTCAATACAAACTATATTTGTATTGAATGAAGTTTAGGTCAAGTCAGACAGTAAAATATTATGTAACAGTTTTGAAGTCTAGAGTATGTGTGTATAGAATTCCATTAATATAGGGCAGGAAAAAAAGCTATGAAAAAATTGAGTTGTATAAGAGATTATAGTTAAAAAGAGAAAGGGGAGTGTGAAATTTAATACACCTAGTTCTAGAGAAAAATGAGCTTGAAAGCTTTTGTTTCTACAGGAAGGGGCTTGGGTCCATAAGGCTTTCCTAGTAGCTCAGCTGGTAAAGAATCTGCCCGCAATAAAGGAGACCCAGGTTCAATTCCTGGGTTGGGAAGATTTCCTAGAGAAGGATAGGCTACTCACTCCAGTATTCTGGCCTAGAGAATTCCATGGACTATATAGTCCATGGGATTGCAAAGAGTTGGACATGACTTAGCAACTTCCACTTCACTGGGTCCATAAACTCCATGACATGCTTTGTCTTGGAAGTTCTCCCAGATTTTTGTGTTCCCTGAATTAAAAACTGAATTGGGGTCCTGAATTTCTAACAGACAACCCTGAATCAGTAATCTCAGCTGACCTGAAGTAGGACTTCTATTCACTTTGGTAAAAAAAAAGATGTTATAAAAGAAGATACAAAATACATATAGAGATGATGATTTTAAGTTTGGGAAAGTGTAGCAATGAGTTTTTCAATTGTGCCTTTTACTTAATCTTTCTTCTTTTATTTTGGCCATAGTGTATGGCTTGCTGGTGGGATCTTACTTCCCTAACTAGAGATTAGAATCTGGGCCCTTGGCAGTGAAAGCTCTGCGTCCTAACCACTGGACAGCTAGGGAATTCCCTAGTTGTGCCTTTTGAAATCTGTCTTTTAAAACTGTTTGAGAGCATGAATAGCCAAAACAATATAAAGAAATGAAAACAAAATGGAAGCATCACATTTCCTGATGTGATGTAAAACTTTATTACAGAGCTATAGTCATCAGAGCAGTGTGTGCTGACATAAAAACAGACACACAATCAATGAAACAGAGCCTATAAATAGAGGGTCATTAATAATATGTGGCCAATTAATTTATGGTAAAGAGGTAAAAAATATACACTAGGGAAGGGATGTTCTCTCCCATAATCAGTGTTTGGAAAATTGGACAGCCATGTTCAAAAAGAATGAAATTAAATTACCATCTTACACCATACACAAAAATCAATACAGAATGGATTAAAGATGTGAATGTAAGATCTGGAAGCATAAAACTCCTAGAAGAAAACATAGCAAAAAATCTCTTAATATTGGTCTTTGCAATGATTTAGAGTTGACACCAAAAGGAAGTGCAACAAAAGAGGAAATTAAGCAAATGGGACTACATAAATATAAAAGCTCTGCACAGCAAAGGAAACCACCCCCCAAATGAAAAGGCAACCTACTGAATGGGAGAAAACACTTGCAAACTATATATCTGGTAAGGGGTTAATATCCAAAATACATTAAAAATTCACATGATTCAATACCAATGCCCCCTGCTCCCCAAACAACCTGATTTAAAAATGGGCAGAGGAACTGAATAGACATTTTCCAAAGAACACATACAAGTGGCCAGCACGTACATGAAAAGATGCTCAACATTGCTGATCATCGGGGAAAATTTTAACATCACAACCACAGTGAGAGATCATCTCACAGCTGTGAGTACGGCTGTGATAGAGTGAGTGAAAGTTGCTCAGATGTGTCCGACTCTTTGCAACCCCATGAACTACACAGTCCATGTAATTCTCTAGGCCAGAATACTGGAGTGGGTAGCCTTTCCCTTCTCCAGGGGATCTTCCTGACCCAGGAATCGAACCAGGGTCTCCTGCATTGTGGGTAGATTCTATACCAACTGAGCTATCAGGGAAGAAAGGTAATAAATAGTGTTGATGAGGATATGAAGAAAAGGGAATCCTTGTGCACCGTTGGTTCACAGTTGGTTTAAAATAAGTGCAGCCACCATGGAAAACAGCTATCATGTGACCCAGCAGTCTCGCTTCCGGGTACAGATACAAAAGAAATAAAGCCGTATCTCAAAGAGATGTTTGCACTGCCATATTCACTGCAGCATTAATCACAATAGCCAAGATCTGGGGCCTCCTAAGTGTCCATCAATAACAGATGAATGGATAAGGAAGATGAAAAAGCAGGAAGCCCTGTCATTTTTGACAACATAGATGGATCTGGAGAGCATTATGCTAAGTCAGATAAGCCAGGCAGAGAAAGACAAAATTGCATGATATCACTTATATGTGGAATTTTTTAAAAAGTCAAACACATAAAACAGGGAGTAGAAAAGTAGTTGCCAGGGGTTGGGGGCTGGGGAGACAGGTTGTGGAAAAGGGTACAAACTTTCAGCTACAAAATGAATAAGGTTGGAGGGTGATTTTTCACTGACATAAATAGGTGATGGGTTCCCTGTCTCACTGTCGGTTCTGTGTCTCTTCTTCCATCAGCATCATTTCACGCTGTAGTTTCCCCACTGTTTTCACAGTTATCCCCAACTTGTATTTCTGATTAAAATTAATTTTGGAAATATTAATACCTGTCAATGTCCCCACACTAATGTTGTCCTATTTCCCTTGAGTAGAGCTGTGAGGAGTTTAGTCCCCTTCACCAGGCGCTGCCCACACCCTGTTTTTTTCCCTAAGATCCCTTGGCCATGTGGCCCACGGTGGATTCTCTCACACTGCTGTGTTTGCTGTGAAACACCAGATTCTTGTGCTTCTTTATAGTAAAGTGACAGGAAGCATCAGTCTTCACCTGGAACACGTGTGTGCCTGCCTGCTCAGCCACGCAGTCCTCTCCAAATCTTTCACCCCGTGGACTGTAGCCCACCAGACTCCTCTGTCCATGGGATTTTCCAGGCAAGAATACTGGAGTGGGTTGCCCTTTGCTCCTCTAGGGGATCTTCCCCATCCAGAGATCGAGCCCCGCGGAAACACACTTTGTTTCCAAGACTTTCACTCAAAGCCACGATTTTATAGGCTCTTGTAAGGCTTGCTTTGTTTTCGCTATTTTCCGGACATTTTGGCAACACCAAGTCTAGCAAAAACACTTGAAAAAGTTGGGATTACTTTTGGGGATTTGTGAGGGACAAGATGTCTTTCTAGGACAGTTTAGCGTTACTCCTCCCCTCTTCCTTCCACCAGCTGTGCACTTTGCATCTGAGGAGACAATAAGCAACCAACTAATTAGCCAGGGATTTCAAAACTTCTCAACATGCATAATATAAAGCAATAAATAGGGCTAATGAAATGTCTGGAACCGCTATAATTCACGGCGCGCGCTTTGATGAGAGATGCCCATTTCATTTTAACAAGAACCTCTGGACTTAATCTCATTCTCTCTCGTGGGCATCCACCAGAGGCTGGAGAGGAGCTCTTTGTCTTAAGGAGACCACCCCGGCGGACTGCGCTCCAGATTGCACGGTTAGGTGGTGGTAAGGGGTACCATGCGGGGCCGAGGGCCCGGGGCCGGGGGCTGGGGTCTGCGGTGGGCTGGAAGGAGCCGCTGTCCTCCACCCACTCCCAACCCCGGCCCAGGTCAGGGCAGCGGGCGGGGCTCCGGGCTGGGGGCGGGGCTCAAGCTCCGGGGACCCACACCTTCCAGCCTGGGAACCGCCTCTCGCAGCCGCGCGCCGCTCCCGCGCTGCTCTTTGCTGTCCTGATCGGGAAGTTGCCGGTTCTCTCGAGCCGGGTGGTCTGGACGCGGCGGTAGAGAGAGCGGGCCTTGCGCGGGGAGTCCGGACACTCGCAGAGCCAAGGCTGGGTCATCGGAGAGGCTGCGCGGAACCGTGAGCATCCGAGCTCTGGGACTCGCCCTGTTCCCCCCGGCAGCCCCGAGTCCTCGTCCTGCGTCCGCGCCCCGCGTCCCTCCCCAAGGCGCGCAGGTGTCGCCCGCCGTCTGTCCTCGGGGAGCGGACCCTCCGCTCGGCACCCGCCTGCTCTCCAGCCGCTCCTGCACGCCCATGCGACCGGCGAGGCCAGGCGTCCCGGTGCCCGCGCTGCTCCTGCTGGCCCTCGTCCTGACCCCGCGAGGGACGCAGGGGAGGCCCGGGGGCAGCAGGGGAGCGCACGTCGCGGGCGAGGAGCCGAAGCCGTCCCTTCCCGCGGCCCCTCGGAGCGCAGGTGAGCAGCCCCGCGCGCGAAGCCTGGGGCGGGGCGGGCTCCGACGGCCCCGAGCGGCGCTGGGTCGGGGCAGCCTGACCGTGCACCGCGGAGAATAGGCGTCGCTGCCGGTACCTGGCGCTCAGGGAAAGAGGTCATGAGATTATTAGATGTACCGCAACCGAGACTTAAGTGACCGGAAACCCATCTGGCAAAGGAACCAGCCCGAAGCTCCCCTTCATGGTGTGGAAGGGCTTGGGGGTGCGGGCTCGCAGCCCGAGGACCTGCCTTTCCGTCCCAGCGGTATAGGCCGGAGGACAGGTCAGCACCTAGCAGGGCCCCGTGCCGGTCTCTCCGAGTTTGGGGATAAAGTCAGATCACCGGCGTCTGGAGCCCCGACGCTTTTCTGCGCCCCTCGGAGCTGGCGATGGGGCTCGTTGGGGAGTGCGGGGATGCTTAGCTGAGTCCCCCTCCCCGCCCCCACGCTGCCCACGGCTCCCGAATCAGCTCTGGGCGCTCAGGATCCTGGCCGCTTAGTTGTCCAACGAGTGATGGAGTAGAAGGGGTGGATGGGGAAGGAGAAGTAGCAGCCAACGTCGGGGGACACCGAGGTGGAGACGATGGCGGGTGAACGAGCAGGAGACGTGAGAAGCCCGGGATTATGGGGTGCAGGGCGCGCGCAGGGCAGGAAGGAGGGAATGTGTGGGAGTGAGGGGGTGTGAGGGGGTATGTGAGGGGTTGGGGAGTAGGAGGCAGCCCCTCAGAGGTGTCTCTGTTTGGAGCCTGTGCGCACGTGGAGATGCCCGCCTAGGCTGGGAGCAGAGGCGCCCCTGGGGGGTGTACCCCGCTGAGAGGTCGCAGCACAGGGCGGCAGACTTGCTGTCATTTAGCCGCTCAACACACACCGGACGTGCTTTGATGGGTGTGGGAACACAAGGTTAACCAACATTTTTGGTTTTTGTGCTGGAGGAACTCGGGTTAGACTTGTCCACCCCATGTCCCTGCAGTCTGGTCCCGCCTTTGTTTTGTCGTGCCCATCAATCACCCTGGTTCAAACCAGGCTGCCTCCCTAGCGCCAGGAGTGCCTCCTGCTGGGGCCTCAAAATAGACAGTGTGCTTTCATTACCTGCATCTTGTCTTCTCCACTGTTCCACCATCACACCAGCAGAATGGAGCAAAGCATCATGCCCAGAGTTCTGCAGAAGATGGGGAGCACTGGGGTCTCCTCTACTGAAATAAAGACAGGGTCGGCTGACTGAGAAGTGGGCAGTTGTGGGACTAGAGGGGGTTTGGAGGAACTTGGGACAGAGAAGGAATTGGTGTGCAGTGTCTAACAGGTGGCGCTAGTGGTAAAGAGCCCACCTGCCAATGCAGGAGACATAAGAGACAAAGGTTCGATCCCTGGGTCAGGAAGATCCCCTGGAGGAAGGCATGGCAACCCACTCCAATGTTCTTGCCTGGAGAATCCCATGGACAAAGGAGCCTGGCAGGCTACAGTCCATAGCATCGTGTAAGAGTTGGACACGACTGAAGCGACTTAGTATGCATGCATGCATGCCTGCACATGGGAAACAGAAGTATAAGAGGGGCTTTTTGAGAGTTTTGAAAGAAAGGCTTTGCCTTTTCAAGAGGTGACAGTACATTCTTCTGCAGACTGATGGAACCAGATTTGTGTTACTGTGTTTTTTTGTTTGTTTGTTTTTTAGTATAAAAGCTTGCTGGCATGAGGCTTACAGCAGGGGTGTAAAGGTCATTTATGAACAAGTACAAATGAATTTTCTTTGTAGCACCAGACTTTCCTCCTGTCACAGATAAGTAGCGGTTTCTCTAGGTTTTCCAGGGAGGTCCTAACTTCTCTTGATGGCAAGACATTAAGTCTCCTGTGACCTGCCCTGTCTTCCTTTCTGGGGTTCTCACAGGTTCAGGTCACATTAGTTGGTCCTGCTCCTCACAGACGCTGGCAGCTGCTGCCTCTGTCTTGCCACCAGCCCCAGGAACACACTTCTCTTGCCTATGCCTGTCAGAATTCACCTCCTCTCACAGGCCCTCTTCCTCTGTGATGTCTTTGTATCTATTTCCTTGTTAAAACAAGACAAATTGGAATCCTAAATTCTTTGCAGTATCATCAGTGAAATATTACAAATGCTGTACATTCCAAAAATGTATTCTATCAAGTTCAGTTCAGTTCAGTCACTCAGTCACGTCTGACTCTTTTTGACCCCATGGACTGCAGCATGCCAGGCTTCCCTGTCCATCACCGACTCCTGGAGCTTACTCAAACTCATGTCCATTGAGTCAGTGATGCCATCCAACCCTCTCATCCTCTGTCGTCCCCTTCTCCTCCTGCCTTCAATCTTGCCCAGCATCAGGGTCTTTTCAGATGAGTCAGTTCTTCACATCAGGTGGCAAACGTATTGGAGTTTCAGCTTCAGCATCAGTCTTTCCAATGAATATTCAGGACTGATTTCCTTTAGAATTGACTGGTTTGATCTCCTTGCAGTCCAAGGGACTCTTAAGAGTCTTCTCCAACACCACAATTCAAAAGCATCAATTCTTTGGCACTCAGCTTTCTTTGTGGTCCAACTCTCATATCCATACATGACTACTGGAAAAACCATAGCTTTGACTTTATGGACTTTTGTCAGCAAAGTAATGTCTCTGCTTTTTAATATGCTGTCTAGGTTTGTCATAACTTTTCTTCCAAGAAGCAAGCATCTTTTAATTTCATGACTGTAGCCGCCATCTGCAGTGATTTTGGAGCCCACAAAAATAAAGTCTGTCACTGTTTCCATTGTTTCCCCATCTATTTCCCATGAAGTGATGGGACCGGACACCATGATCTTCATTTTTTGAATGTTGAGTTTTAAGCCAGCTTATTCCCTCTCCTCTTTCACTTTCATCAAGACACTCTTTAGTTCCTCTTCACTTTCTGCCATAAGGGTGGTGTCATCTGCATATCTGAGTTTATTTATATTTCTCATGGCAACTTGATTCCAGCTTGGGCTTTATCCATTCTTGCTTTTTTCATGATGTACTCTGCATATAAGGTAAATAAGCAAAGTGACAATATACAGCCTTGACGTACTCCTTTTCCAATTTGGAACCAGTCCGTTGTTCTGTGTCCAGTTCTTACTGCTGCTTCTTGACCTGCATGCAGGTTTCTCAGGAAGCAGGTAAGATGGTCTGGTATTCCCATCTCTTGAAGAATTTTCCACAGTTTGTTGTGATGCACACAGTCAAAGGCTGTAGTTAATGAAACAGAAGTAGATGTTTTTCTGAAATTCTCTTGCTTTTTCTATGATGCAACAGATGTTGGCAATTGGCTATCTGGTTCCTCTATCTTTTCTAAATCCAGCTTGAACATCTAGAAGTTCTCGGTTCACATACTGTTGAAGCCTAGCTTAGAGAATCTTGAGCATTACTTTGCTAGGGTGTGAGATGAGTGCAATTGTGCATAAGTTTGAATATCTTTGGCATTGCTTTTCCTTGGGATTGTAATGAAAACTGACCTTTTCGAGTCCTGTGGCCACTGCTGGGTTTTTCAAATTTGCTGGCATATTGAGCCTTTTCACAGCATCATCTTTTAGGATTTGAAATAACTCAGTTGGGATTCCATCCATTAAGTATTGTTGTACAATTTTAAATAATTTAAACACTAGGTATATTAAAAATCACTATATAAAAAGACACTAGGATGAGATGGTTGGATGACATCATCAACTCAATGGATATGAGTTTGAGCAGACTTCGGGAGATAGTGAAGGACAGGGAAGCCTGGTGGGCTGAAGTCCATGGGATCACAAAGATTCGGACACTACTGAGCAACTGAAGAAACAAAGTATTAAAAATCAGGGCACCCACACATATGACACATATGTGTCCTTGGTCTGTCAGCTGTGAGGGCCTGGGAGCAGCCACGCCCCAGTAGCAGCAAGTACACCTGGTATCCAGACTTTGATTCTGATACCATGCTCTGTAAGAGGAACTGGGGCTCCTGGGAGAAATGACTGATGCTAACACAGGACAGGAGATGACTCGGGATGAGCTTGGAGCATCTGTTTGTACCTGAATGTAAGGAAGTGATAAAAATTCAAAACACCATCAACAACCGCGCCCCCCAATGATGGCAGATTTTTACTGGAAAGAATTCTGTCTCTTATCTTCTACTGAGCACAAATGACAAATGCATTAGTTAGTAATAATATTATATCTTGTTGATTATGAAGGAAATCAGTGCTGAGTATTCAAGATGTTTTATGTATTTTTTGGAATATCTAGAGTACTGCTTTCAAATGTGCAAATGACTCTCCTATGAGTTCCCATTGAAGTGACTCTTAGATCTGGGCCTGAAATCCTGTATTTCTTACCAACTCCCAGAGATCTGAGAGATCTCAGCTCCCATGGAACTGAGCTACTACTCCATATGCATTATTTTAAATACTTATATTTTCCTTCAGTGATTCTCTCAGCCCTGATGTAATAAATCTAGTTCTTATTTTTGAAAGTATAATTGTTTTTATATTGAGTTGGCCAAAAATTTCATTTGGGGTTTTCCATTGGATAGTATGGGAAACCCCAAATGAACTTTTTGGCCAACCCACTATATTGGGAAAGAGAAGAATCATGGGGTTTCCCAGGTGACACTAGTGGTAAAGAAGCTGTCCGTCAATGCTGGAGACATAAGAGACAGGGGTTCAATCCCTGGGTCAGGAAGATCCCCTGGAGGAGAGCATGGCAACCTACTCCAGTATTCTTGCCTGGAGAATCCCATGGACAGAGGAGCCTGGTGGGTCCAGTCCATAGCATCTCAAAGAATAGGACAGGACTGAAGTGACTTAGCAGAATAGTCATGTCATCTCTTTAAAGGAAATGATAACTCAAGGAACTATATCACAAATATTTCAGTTCAAGTACATAAAAATGCTAGATTGAAACACACAGTAATGCCCTTTGGCACCTCAGAAGGTACTAAGGATCCACCAACATGGCTTTGTATAGAATTGATCATGGCAGAGCAAATTGTCTTTTTGGTAAGATATTAAGTTGTATGCAGGCAAAAGCAATCACTAAAACACATTTTTTGTTATCTTCTAGTTGTTCTGTGTTATGATTTTTTATTATTTCACATGATCTCTGCTCATTTTTAAATAAGAAGTAGGAACAAGCGATAAGCTTGCCAACATTATATACATAATATGCAAATTTGTTCCTTTAAAAATATATTATTGTAAACTTAAAACTGATGAGGGTGACAGATGGTAACTGTTTTGGTTAAATAAAAACTAGAAATTTTCATAAATTGGATGAATGAGATGAAAGGTTATTCAAGTTGTTCCAGGGTAATTTTCATGCATTACCTAGGGATCTTTTTGTTTTTAATCCATCTGTACATGGAACCTCTTATACAATTGTCATTAGCTACTAGAGGAATGAAGGATACATTCTATTCTTACACTGTCCGGTATGGTAGCCACAGGTACTTATGACCGCTGAACACTTGGAGGGTGGCTGGTCCAAAGTGACATGTGCTATGAGTGGTAAATAAACCTCAGATTTTGAAAGTTAAGTATAAAAAACATAGACTACCTTTCTTCGTGCATGCGTGCTGAGTTACTTCAGTCATGTGTGACTCTTTTTGACCCCATGGACTGTAGTCTCCAGGCTCCTCTGTCCATGCAATTCTCCAGTCAAGAATACTGGGGTGGGATGCCATTCCCTTCTCCAGAGAATCCTCCTGACCCAGGGATTGAACCGGCATCCCTTACATCTCCTGCATTGGCAGGTGGGTTCTTTACCACTAGTGCCCCCTGGGAAACATTGATTACATATTGAAAGGATAATATTATGGACTTACTAGGTTAAACAAAGTATTAAAATTTCACCTATATTTTTTACCTTTAAAAATATAATCAATATTTTGCATTATTAAATATTACAAAATGTTTAAAATTTTAAATCACTATTTTCAAATATTTAAAATTACTGAATTGTTCTTTTGAATTAGTGTTTCTAATGTTATTTTTAATGAAGAAGACACTTTCAAGAAATTTTAAAAGTTTTTCTTTTTTTCTTTTCAGAAATATTCCCAAGAGATTTGAACTTAAAAGACAAATTCATCAAGCATTTCACAGGTAAGCATGAACTTTATCAGTGATTCAATTAAATAAAAAGACTGTATGCAGATTACTTCATGAAGCAGTGAGGATTTGAACATAAATGTCTGTGAGAGGCTCACAGTTGGGTCAGGAAGGTGGACAAATCCTATTACCTCATATTAATGCGATATAAACCAGATCTGGGTGAGTGATAGAATGGTAAGCAGAGTTTAGGGAAATACAGGAAGTGGATGGTTTTGCCAGAGACTACCAGGAACTGCTGTCGGGGACACAATGTGTAAGTTGGGCTCTAAGGATGAGTAGAGTTTTCCCTTACCAGAGAGGCATTCTGGTCAGAAGGAATCCTTTGAACATGTGGTGTGGTCTGGGGCAGGTTGTGGGCCATTTAGGCAAGAGTATGTGTGGCCGGGGGCAGAGGATGGCTGGATCAGTGGGTGGAGTCATGTGACGAGCTCTCCTTGGTACACTAGGGGTCTAGCGATGTTGCCTGGCCAGCTACACAGTGGAAGTGTTTCGCCCAGGGCAGAGCAGACCTCCTGACGGCTCATTGTCACATGGTCAGCACATGTGGCTTCCTCTCCCACGACACTCCTGGGTTCTTCATGCAACTTGGTGAATCATTACAGTTACCCTGTGCCCCACATTCTAGCAAGTCACCTAATCATCGTGAACTGTGCACTTGACCTTCACTCCATTCCTGTGCACTTGACCTTCACTCCATTCCTAGTCTTCTCCTAGTGGTGAAGAACCTGCCTGCCGATGCAGGAGATATGAGTTCCATCCCTGGGTCAGGAAGATCCACTGGAGAAGGAAATGGCAACCCACTCCAGTGTTCTTGCCTGGAGAATCCTATGGACAGAGGAGCCTGGTGGGTTATAGTCCATGGGGTCACAAAGAGTTGGACACAGCCGAGCACCTTTCTCTATCGGCACTCTGGGCTCTCCTTCTACCACTTCCATAAAAGCAGACTCCAGACACAGGGATGAATTTTGGTGTGGACTATCTTGGTTTGTGGGCAAAGATAAGGGAAGTCTCAATGCCCTGTCCACTTTACAGTAGGCCTTGTCGCTTATAAGACACAAATCACTCTAAGTAGAAAGTGGAATAAATGTCCCTGCATAGAAACTTCATCCCTGTTAAATACAAAACTGAAGAACATAAAGTAGAAACCAGAGATACTTGTGTTTTCATTCTTCACGTCCTCTTAATTCGCTCTCTGCAGATTGTTTTCCTCTCCTATCTAGAGCTTTTCTCTCTTAATTATTCTGAAATTATTCTCTCTTAATTTTTCTGAAATTGAAGGTTCTTTTATGTGAGTTGTAGAGACTGTGGAGTGAATTTTTATTGTTTTTTACAGACACACCTCATTGCCTCCTCCAGAATCTGGGTAGGGGGAAGACATGCTCTTAGGCAAGGTCTTTTAAAGGCATGGGAAGATGTAAACCAGGGATATCATCGCTATGCAGAAAGTGCTAGGGAATTTGTTTGGAAAACACACCGACGTGCACCATAAGTGTTCTTTTCCTGTCCAATAGGGCCAGTCACGTTTTCAGCTGAGTGCAGCAAACACTTCCACAGGCTATATCACAATACCAGGGACTGCTCGACGCCAGCTTGTAAGTAGCTTGGGTCATTTTCGTTTTTTTAAAACTTCCTTGGTAGCCTAGTGGCTAAGACCCCATGCTCCCAGTGCAGGGGGTCTGGGGCTCAATCCCTTGTCGGGAAACTAGATCCTGCCCCAACTAAGACCTGGCACAGACCCCCAAGACACTATCCAACTGTAGGTTTGTGTAATCTTAAACTTCAACTGTCTGTGAGTGGGAAATAATAGACTAAATATTATAAGAAATAATCCTGATGGTACTCACACTTAACGTGTGTGTGTGTGTATGTGCCGTTGACACTGTCAAGCAGTGAAACCATGTTCTAATTGGGATTATTTCAGACAAATCTGAAAATAGCCAGATTTCCTTAAGGACCATGGTGTTTGTCAGGATTTAAACCTTTTATCATTTTTAAAATTCTTTGGCACAAATAAGGCAGTCTCATATAAATGAAAAAAAAAATGACCATGAAGTATAAGTAAAAATTTCCTCATAAGTTTTTAAAAAAATAAATAGTTTCATATCACATCCTGTATATAACAAGTGATAGATTTTTTCCTGAATAAGGGTAACATGTATTTTAGAGGTTGTCTAATGAATTCTTTTGGATACTTAAGTTACTGAACTGAGTAGCAATTCCAAACATAGTATTTAAATGCTCTCCTTTATCTAAATCATGGTTAAGTATGGTAACTCAGTTGCCTGTTTTAAATTCCTTTCTCAGTCTAAACTTACTTTTTAAAAAATGAACTTTAAACATTTTGTAGTTTTTAAAAAAACTAAATTGGTCATCTTGAGGGATATTTAATTTTACCCAGGATGTTGAGTCAGAGTTGTAAGTTTTTCAAAAATGCTTGTGTTTGGTGACTAGGGAGGACGAGTCCTGTTGACATCTAGGCAGAATGATTAAGTGGTAGCTCAGCCTGGTGGAGAAACTTTGGGCTTTGGAATGAAGCTGAATACTAGCTATGAGATTCTTACCATTTTCAGGCTGTTTTCTCATCTCTACAGTGAAGACAGCAATAGCATCCAGCTGCTTACATCAGTAGGAGAATTAGTGAGAAAATCCAGTTAAGTACTTGCTCTATTAGATGCTTATTAAATTATAGCTATCATTATTAAGTACTAGTGACAATAATTTAACACTTTACCCACATATGTAGTAACTGTACACATACTTGTCTCTTAAATGTTTTTCCTAGATTACAAAAGATGTGCTAGATTGTTAAAGAGACTAGCAGTGAGTCCTCTGTGCTCCCAGACGGAGAAGACCTACATGTGAGTATGTATTTATCAATTTTCCTTTTTCTGTTTAACAGCTTCATTTCTTAAGAAATTTTGAACAATTTAAAAACCCCAGGAAGCTGATTTTAGCACCACCTAGTGAATAATCTGTGGATTTTCCACTTAGCGTTAAAGTCTGGTCTAAATGGCATATTTAATTAAAAAAGTATGTCCTCAACAATGATTGAATGAATAGAAACAGCTTTTTTGGCAACCTTACTGTTCCTGAGTGATTTTTATTTTTATTATTTTTATTTTTTTTCTGATTGATTTTTTAAAATATTTCAAATTTGATGTTATTTCAGATCACATGCAAATATACATTAGATGAACAAAACTATTTAAAGGTCTACCTTTTAAAAAAACTTGTGAAAACAGATACAGTAGTAATTAAAAAGTAGATACAGTATAATAGAAGTAGGATCCTAAAATTTTGATTTATACAATACAGGTTAAGGTAAGAGACACAGTATTAGAAGAATAGAAGGAAAAGCGAATAATCAAACATATGATGAACATGTAGGCATTGTCTGCTCTGGTATATATTTTGCCAGAGTGAAATGGTAAGTCAGAATTTTCATTCTGGCTAAATTACCCTTGGAGCTCTAGAGCAATAAAGTATTTGTATGACCTAAATAAATCAAATGTAAATTCTGACGTTTGTTTACAATTAAAAAAGCCCCACTAGGGCTTCCCTTGTGGCTTAGCTGGTAAAGAATCCACCTGCAATGAGGGAGACCTGGGTTTGATCCCTGGGTTGGGAAGATCCCTTGGAGAAGGGAATGGCTACCCACTGCAGTATTCTGGCCTGGAGAATTCCATAGACTGTATAGTCCATGGGGTCGCAAAGAGTCAGACAGGACTAAGTGACTTTCACTTTCATAGAATCTATGGGAAAGACTGAAAGGTATTCATTTCTGGGCAAAGATCTTTCTAATCAGTAGTTCTTTCCAGTGTAATACAAAGTCAACAGTTTGGGGGTGTGTGGGGGGTGGTGTCAGTGTATCAGGACCACGGACAAGTCCTTTTAAAGAAACTGATTCCTCAGCTCTTGAGTCTTGGAGAACATGTAATCTAGAAGTATTTGTGAATATCTCGATCTGGCCAGTATAACTTCAGTTTAGTCACTCAGTTGTGTCTGACTCTTTGTGACCCCATGGACTGCAGCACACCAGGCTTCCCTGTCCATCACCAACTCCCGGAGTCCACACAAACCCATGTCCATTGAGTTGGTGATGCCATCCAACCATCTCATCCTCTGTCGTCCCCTTCTCCTCCTGTCTTCAATCTTTCCCAGCATCAGGGGCTTTTCCAATGAGTCAGCTCTTCACATCAGGTGGCCAAAGTATTGGAGTTTCAGCTTCAACATCAGTCCTTCCAATAAACACCCAGGACTGATCTCCTTTAGGATGGACTGGTTGGATCTCCTTGCAGTCCAAGGAACTCTCAAGGGTCTTCTCCAACACCACAGTTCAAAAGCATCAATTCTTTGGCGCTCAGCTTTCTTCACAGTCCAACTCTCACATCCATACATGACTACTGGAGAAACCATAGTCTTGACTAGACTGACCTTTGTTGGCAAAGTAATGTCTCTGCTTTTTAATATGCTGTCCAGGTTGACCATAACTTATTCTATCTCAAATAACTATATGGGAATTTACTTATCCATCTGATAGTTTTGTGGTAACCTTTACTGAGACAATTCCGACCTATTGTTGTTGGTTTTCTTATTTTAAAAGCAATGATAAATTAATAATAATAATTGGCATTCAATTCTGCATATTGAAAGTTGCTGAACTAAAAAGCTGCCCTTTTTTTAGATTAAGAAATTGAGCTAGATCATTTCAGTGTTCAATGGCAAGATACTTGAATCAGTTATTCTCAAACATTTTGACTAATGAGTAAATCAAGAATATTTATTAGACTCTTGGATTGTGGTGGTTCAGTCACTCAGTCATGTCTGACTCTTTGTGACCCCATGAACTGTAGCCCACCAGGCTCCTCTGTTCATGGGATTTCCCAGCAGGAATACTGGAATGGGTTGCCATTTCCTTCTCCAGGGAATCTTCCTGACTCAGGAAATGAAACTGTATCTTCTGCAATGGCAGGCAGATTCTTTACCGCCGAGCCACCTGGGAAGTCCCATTAGGCTCATGAAGTGACCTAAGTGAGGTCATGCTTATCTTGTTCTTTGGATTGTTCTTTAGATTAAGAAATCGAGCTAGATCATTTCAGTGTTCAATGGCAAGATACTTGAATCAGTTGATATATTTTATTCTTATAAGTAAGTTTATATAAAGTCCAAAAGGCAACATAATAACTGGAAAAGTTCTCAAAGAAACAAGTATTATAATTTAAAATATTAAATGCAAACTTACATTCTCCTTGGAAAAGATTCATATAGGACAGAGCTGATAAACAGGCCCCTTTGAAACTGCAGAGTTTGGAGATTTAGTGAGGTCTTCTGCAGGTGTCATCTCTGATGGTTTGTCTGTCTACAGGGACTTAACAAGGTGTTAGAGTATCACAGATTAATACATTTTAGGAATATTTTTGCGTTATTTAGGTGATGCCAAGTTCATTTTTTGGCTGATGCAGATATCTTATTAAAACTTTAGTGGTGGAAGTCATCATTTAAACTTTCTAGGGAACTCCCTGGTTGTTCAGTGGTTAGGATGCAGTGCTTTCACTGCTGAGGGCTCTGGTTCAATCCCTGGTTGGGAAACCAAGGTCCTACAAGCCGTGCAGTATGGACAAGAAACAAATTCTAAAAATAAATAAACAAATGAACTTTCTAAAAGTACTGATAAACCCCTTGCCTGCTCCACACACACTTTAATATACACCCTCAGGGTTACACTATAAATTAAGAGTCCACAGATTCTTTAAGCAAAAGAAAATATAGCTATATTAAAACTATGCATATGTGTAAGTAGGGAAAAAACCTGGTCGTAAATAACATTTTTCTTCTTCCCTCTCACAGGCATTTCTTAAGAATGTAAATCTAATTTGAAAGAAAAAAAGTATCTGGGATCATACTAAACATAAAATGAGATGAAACTTCTAATTTTATGGTGTATTAAGAAGAGTGAAATAAGAGACTCCTCAGAAACAGCTGGTGATCTGTGTCCAAGCGTAAGACAAGATCTTCCCTGGTTTATCTTCGTGTATACAAAAATTTGAAAATGTTGAATGCAAAGTTCAACTCATATATTGCAAATAGAATATTAAAATGTATGCTATTATACTTTATTTTTGCTATATATATGTTATTTTATTATATGACTAACATTCTATATATGTATGAATTATATATTTAATTATATAAATTATGTCTGATCATGCCAAAGAGAAATGATGTTTTGGGTATGAGTTTTCATAACATGCTTGTTGAATAATCATATATGAAGTCCCCTTTTATAATTATAATTTAATAATATGTAATACATCTATTCAAAATTTGTTGTTTTTATTTGCATGTAAATTTTATTAAAACTGAAATATGAAAAAAATCTGTGTTGTTTTTCTTTGAATTAAAGTCCTTTGTAGGAGAGGTCATATTATTGAAATATGATGCTCTCTCTATATATATGTTCATATTCATTTTCTGAACGATAACTAGGATCCTGAGACCTTTTTTGAATTTGGGGCATATGGTGAAGTGAAAGTCACTCAGTCATGTCCGACTCTTTGTGACCCCATGGACTATACAGTCCATGGAATTCTCCAGGCCAGAATATTGGAGTGGGTAGCCTTCCCCTTCTCCAGGGGATCTTCCCTACCTGGGGATCGAACCCAGGTCTCCCGCATTGCAGGCAGATTCTTTACCAGCTGAGCCACCAGGGAAGGCCATGGTTTGCTACCTTAAATAAGAAGTCCATATGAACCTGGTGGGGAGAAGAACGTGTATGTGCTTGGGGTTTTGTTTGGAAAATAACAACACACCCTGACACAGTTCATCCATTTCATTTAAAAACAATAATGAAAAAATGAGAAACCTAAATAAGATGATAGGAAACCTCATCCTTTTAGAGGAGGCAAAACATGATTTGCTTAACAATGCATCACAGGATGGTCACGGCTTTTTTAACGCTTCTACCCTGTTTGTGCTGGTGTCATGGAGACGGGGCTCCGGACTGGCCGCTGCTTCCATTTTTAGCTCCTCTGTCCCTCCCATAACTGTCCGGACGTTTGTTTGTGTCTGAAACACACACACGTCTTTGTCCATCAGAAACACAAGTGCAGAGGGCCCCTTTGGTTGCAAGGATATTGTGAAGCTACATTTTCAGTTTTCAGTTTTATTGGTTTTGGCCTCTGGGCAAAGATGGACAAATAATGACACAAAAAAACTTTAGTGTGTGTGTGTGAAATTCTGCTGTAATGCCATGTAGGGAAGAATGAGAATAACAGAGTTTTAGTCCCTTGCGTTTACCTAGTGATTATAATACTGGAAACATTAGGAAGTCTTTCTCTTTTTTTAAAGGATGAGTTTATTGATTTATTTTTGGTCTTCATTGTGGCGCACAGGCATCTTTGATGCCCTGGAGCATGTGGGATCTTAGTTTCCTGAAGGGAAAACTAGGAGGGATCTATCCGTGTCCTCTCCATTGAGAGGCAGATTCTTAACCACTGGACCACCAGGGAAGTCCTGGAAAGCTTTACTCATGAATATCTATAGAGCTGGCATCCTCTATATTATACAAGTGAAGAGGCGATTGGATGGTGGCAAATGAGAGTTTATTAGTGAGACATATTTGGCTGAAACAGAAAACAGCCTAAATGAGTTGTATGATTGGTATGGTTTCAATCAGGTAGGTAATTTCAGATGGAATCCTAAGAAATTAGATTTTAAACATCCTCATGGATGACTAACATGCCTCATTCAGAAGTGTAGTCTATGCTGTGTGTGTGTGTGTGTGTGTCTGTGTGTGTTAGTCGCCCAGTTGTGTCCCACTCTTTGCAACCCCATGGACTATAGCCCTACAGGCTCCTCTGTCCATGGGATTCTCCAGGCAGGAATCCTGGAGTGGGTTGCCATTTCCTACTCTAGGGGAATCTTCTCAACCCAGGGATCAAACCTGGGTCTCCTGCATTGCAGGTGGATTCTTTACCATCTGAGCCACCAGGAGGCCCATGCTATGCTACATGTCTACTTAAAACCTACAAAGATTGACTTTAGATATCTCTAGTTGATGTTTATATTACCACAGTTGATCTTTGAACAACATGTTTCTGAACTGTGTGGGTCCACTTATAGTGGATATTTTCCAGCAGAGAACATTGCCCGTCTTCATGGCCCATCCCAGGTGGCTGAACCCATGGATGTGGGGAATGTAGACTGGAAGGTTATCGGCAGAGTTTTGACTGGGCAAGGGGAGTGGTCAACACTCCTAACCCCCACGTTGTTTGAAGATCAACTGTACTTGATATGATTTTCTCACTGTGCTAACTTTGACAGAGGGGAGTTAGAGATAAAGGGTCTATTAAATTTGTTTCCACGGAGGGAAATTTCTCACATGGGGAGATGAGTGATTGAAAGATGAATGAGGTAAAATATGTTTATTTAGTAAAGTCGCATCTCAGATGACATCTCAGAAATCATCTCACTGTCTAAACAGCAAGACAGGAGGGTGACCATGTTTACTCCAGAACGTGGGGACTGGATCAGTTCAGCTGGCTGTTCTCAGCTGGTCACCTGAGGGGGCTTGACAGATAGCCCAGTGTGGCCTGTGCTTATGATGGGCAGGGGGTGGGCGGATGGATGAAAGGAGAAGGGAGTGGGGGGAGGTGAGGAGGGAAGGATAGAGGAGGAGAGAGGACAGTTCGAGTAGCAGGAACTCCTCTGTGGCCTGTCCGCACTAGCTCGTTGCATCTCTGGAGCTTGGTATAAGAGTGCATTTGAGTGACTGCTCAGCTGATGGGCATGAGTGACGCCACCTGGAACCTTCTCTCTCAGCTGGGCTGGCTGTGTTTGAGGAGCAGCGGCCGTGATGATCAATGACAGCTCCAAGGACTCACTGCGGTTTGGAGACAGCCCCGCGGTGGTGGGGGTATTGAGAGGTTGACCTTCCCCTGGATCCAGTCCTCTCTTGGGACAAGGTGCTATCCATACAGTTTTCTTCTGTTCTGCTGCAAAACAAAAAGGGAAACAAAGAACTAAAAATGCTTTATTTTTATTATTCATTTATGTTGGCTGCGCTGTATAGCTTGTGGGATCTTAGTTCCCCCACCAGGGATTGAACCCAGGACCCCAGCAGTGAGCATGCCAAACTCTAACCACTGGACCTCCAGGGAATTCCCAGGAATAACAGTTAAATAAAAAAAAGCTTCTTGGTTGTCCAGAACACTGCTAATCAAACCATGCCTGCATGCTTAGTTATTTCAGGCGTGTCCAACTCTTCGCAACCCTATGGACTGTAGCCCACCAGGTTCCTCTGTCCATAGGATTCTCTAGGCAAGAATACTGGAGTGGGTTGCCATGCCATCCTCCAGAAATTAGTATGCATAGTATCTTATATTAACCAGTAAGGAGCCAGGGCTTTCCTTAAACTGGGGAATGCAGCCACGACCCCCAGAAGTTTAAGAACCTTTAACTGACTTTGTCAAGGCGATTTAACTGGCTTGAACCCTGAGTCTGTGGGTGGTATGAGATTCGGAGAAGGCCTCAGGAAAAAATTTTCTATTTTTTGCAGCAAAGCATTAATTTTCAAACAAATAGGTGTTTAGTTTGTTTCATTTTATCAAATATGGTAGTGTGTGTGTTCAAAATTACCTAGTTCCCTAATAACAGAAACAACCAATTTTTTTTTTATTTTAAAATTTTATATTGGTGTATAGTTGACTTACAATGTTGTGTCACTTTTAGATGTGCAGTTGAGTGATTCAGTCATACATGTATTTATTCGTTTCCAGATTCTTTCCCCATACAAGTTACCACAGAGTGCTGAGTAGAGTCCTCTGTGCTTGCTATGCAGTAGATGCTTATAGCAACAATCAATTTAGATTAAGCACACACACACACACAAAGACCATTTATGGCAGGATTCTAACTCATGGGTTCATACTTTGACCTCGAGAAGGACAGGCATCCGGGTTCCACTCTTCCCTTAACAGGAAGAGTTCGTGGAATTGACCTCAAGAAGACTGGTGATATTGGTGAGATTTAGCTTTTAAAATGCTCAACTTCCATGTCCCTTCAAAAGTTTAAGTTTTTGATAGGGAGGAACTGACTAGCCTAGACAGAATCTTGTGTTGACATCAAAGAGTGAACTTTGTTTGGCAACTTAAAAAAAAATTTATTTATTTGGCTACTTGGGGTCTTAGTTCCCTGGCCAGGGATTGAACCTGGGCCCCTGTGTTGAATTGGGAGTGCAGAGTCCCAGCCATTGGACTGCCAGGGAAGTCCCTTGTTTGGGAAAGAAAACTGCTCTTCACTGGCTATGTTGCTTCCTGGGGGTTCCATATTTCCAACTACCTGTCAAAGCTTCTCACTTCTGTGAAATATTGAACATCTCTTTAATCCATTTGCTTGACTTAAAAGCCAAGAAGAGAAGCTATAATAGGGACACAGAGGAAGAAGTTGAGTTCTGTTTATTCTGCTAATCCTGCTGCTCCGCTGATTCATCGCCAGTGCACAAGGGCCCTCAGTGATTCATGGAAAGGACTCGCCTTTGCTGTAAAGAATTAAGATCTACCTCCATCACTGTTTGCAGTTATGTCATTATTATTAAAATAGCAGCCTCCAAAATTAGAATTTTGGTTCATCAGCTTCAAAGCACTTGTGGAATGATTTTAAATATGAAAATATCCATAAATTAAAGACGTTCTAAACCAAGTTCTAATGGAAACTATTTCATGTGCATGAGGGTGAAACACAGACGGTAACTATTTTTGAACGCATGCTGTGTGCAAGAGCTTAGACTGAGCTGTTTCTCACCATTATTTAATTCTTATGAAGTTAAATTATGAGGTGCAGCCTTGTTTTACAGTCAGGGGACTGAAC